TTTCAGGTAAGTCTCAACTACATAGTGAGACCCTGTCTAAAAAAAAAAAAACATGTCCCTTTGACCAAGTACATGCCTTCTAGAAGCATTTTTATAATGCCTTCTAGAAATTTATAGGATCCGTGATGGGTTCATCCAATAGAAAACAATGTAGCCATGTTTTATTAATGAAGTAGAGCTATATGTAATTTACCTAAAACCAAGCCACAATCCCAAAATATAATAGTTAAAATGCTATAAAACTAAATTATATTATACTGTTTTATCCCAAATAATAATTACACACAAGGAAAAAAAATCTGGAACATGGTAGACTTAATTGTTGTTATCTCAGGAAGATGAAATCACTTTTATCTTTCTGCCATATATAATTTTATATTACCTGAAATTTACTTTTACAGAGTGATAGATTTTTCTATTAGAAAAGAAGAAAATATTTTTCTTTTAATTATTTGGATACCTAAGTCCCTAATGTACAAACATACATACATATGTAACATAAATCTCCACAATATATCATTTTAGGAGCTGCCTAGTGTGGCTTTGTCATAATTTGTTTAAATGACTGTCTCTTGTTAGATATATAAATTGTTTCCAAATATTTTGTTACTGTAAGCAGAACTTAGATGCAAATTCTTGTGAAATATTTTCACATATTTCAGATTGTTTCCTTAAAATAAATTCCTAGAAATGAAATTGCAGGCCCAAAAATGTGAGCCCAGTGAGGACTTTTGAACAATATTACAAAATTACCCCATTAGAAAAATCAGGGCCAATTTATTTTCCAACTATAAGATAGAAGTAGATTTTTCCTTCCATCCCACCCTGAAAATCACCATCTTTTCCAGTCTTTATCAAATTGGTAAGCAAAATGATCCATCATCATTTTTACTTACATTTCTTTAGTTACCAGGGAAGATAACACCATTCATATTCAGTTAATGGAAATTTATTACTGTGTGATCTACTTATGGACATCTCCTGCCCACTGTTCTACTAGGTTCTTATTCTTTTGAAATGGCAGCAGTGATTTGTATAAGATTAATTCTTTCTCACCAAGGCTCATGTGTACCATTTGGTTTTCATTTGTTTTAAGGTGTTTATGAGCAGAAAGTTGAAATCTGTACATTTTCTTGATAACTATGAGCATTTCTGAACTCTGTATAAGTGACTTGGGAATAGGTTTTTTAAAATATGTATATTAATCATGCACATATTATCTCTTATATAGTTACTTTATCCTCTGTCTTAATATCTTCCTATAGGAAGTTTCCCCGAGCAGCACTATTCCTTGAAGGCGAAGGTCATGACATTTTTAAATCCCCCATAGCAACCAGCCCAGAACACAGTGGAACTCAAAAGCATCTGTTTGGGATAAAAAGATATTGTGTCTGCGGATTTGCTTTGAAGCAATTCATTTTGGGATGGAGATGAAAACGGGGAAAGATGAAACAAAACTGGCCACGTGTCAGTCACTGTGGAAGCCAGAGATGGGTACAAGGAGTTCATTACATTATTATGCCTACTTTTTGTGTTTTTAAATTTTTTCATAGTCAAAAGGCTCTTTAATGTGTATTTGATTGGGCAACAAGAGAGGGAACTTCTGGGACAGCAATGGTGATGCAAATGGAATACATATGCATCAAGGCCACTTTGTAGCACAAAACATTCAGAGCACTGGCCTGGAATGAGTTCTTGAGTACAAATCCTTCTAGCTCAGGCATCTCACAATGCTGTTCATCCTCCCTGAAGCTTGGTTTTCTTTTACATAGAGAAATATCATTAGTAACTATATTAAAAAGGTTGTAATGGCAAATGATGGCTATAAAAGTCATTGCCCAGCCAGTCCCTGGCAGCACTCAATACAGAGTCGTTGTTGTCCAGTAAGGCACAAGCCCCAGCCAGCACTTCCTGACGGTGGCATCCGACACCCCCTCTGTCTCACACACTCACACAGGCTCAACCTCCTTCCACAGCAGTGACACGAAAGTTGCATATTAGACCATGTTAGATTTCTTAGCATTGATACCCACACTGTATCTCAAAGCAGTCGATCAAATTCTGGAAGTAGAACCCAGAGGCTGTATCTTTTAGAGCTCCATGGGTCTGGGAGAAGGAAAAGAGGGTGGCAGAGAATGGATGTGTTTGGGAGGAAAGAAAAGGAAGAGAACAGAAGCCATTGAGTCGCACATGAACCATATTAAAGCCAGCTCAGTCATGTGGCCTCAAGCTGTGTCCCATACCAGACAAGCCCAATCCCATTAGAGCGCCATCATCCCTCCACAAACTTCAAGAGGGTGGGTAATAATTCCCAGGGCTAAGATATGTTATTAGCACCAGGATACCTACATGACAATATTCTAAGAAATATTAAAGCAGTGTATTTTGGTCTTGGGGGAAAAATAAAGTCCCACTAAGTAATGATGGAGGAAGGCAGGAGGAAGCAAGCGCCTTGTCTGGGCATTCTAGCAGCCTGTCAGTGTAACTGAGGCTCACTCAAAGAGGCAGGCTCATTTGGGAAAGTTACTGCAGTATCTTTGATCAAGGGAAAAGCACGTCCATTTCAATCACTTGAGCCAGGATGTGCTGCTGTCTGGCTGTCTGGCTGCCCACAAGGGTGAGCCCACCTGAGCCTGCGTGTACACGGCGGTGCTTAGAGTGTCAGAGGAGCGAGGAGTGCCTGTCGGTACCGCCTCTGCTGAGCTTGGGGGGTGGGGGAGGCACGCTCACTTAGCACACAGCCTGGACTCATCTGTGAGCTCCGTTCCTTCAAAAAATGCCACCTGGCCCAGCCTGGCCTCACCGAAACAAAATCTGACTGGTGGGCTGCCCATCACGAGGCCGCAAGCACTTCAGAATCGGGAGGACAGGGGTCCTTTATCTTCATAAGCAACACACCCAGATTACACAAGCACCAAGGAGGGGAAAAAACTACCTCTGTTCACTCTGCCCTCCCCTCCATCAGCTTTATCCTGTCTCAGCCCCAAACTAATACGAGAAAGGTTTGATTTCTTCCCCCAGGATGCTAAGCAATACCGTGTCAAATGTGCACAAAGATCACCCACTTTTGTTTTACTAAAATAAATAGTAAATCGATGAGAAAGCTCATCAATCAATTTCTAAACTTGGGGAGTTTTAGCAAAAGGTTTTGGGTTGTTTTGTTTTGATTGTTTTCCCTTCAGTGGTATCATCCATAAAATCTTAAGGAGATCCCAGCAGTAGAATCACAGGAGGGACAGGAGTCATGGTGATGATAGTGACAAACATTTACTTCAAATGTTCTAGCTGTTCTGCACATGTTCCCTCATTCAACGTTCATCACAACCTGACGAGGAAGCTATAGTAATCATCATCATCATTACTACTAGTGATGCTGATAACAGCAATGCACATGTTCCCTCATTCAACGTTCATCACAACCTGACGAGGAAGCTATAGTAATCATCATCATTACTACTAGTGATGCTGATAACAGCAGTAAATCATACTGTATCATGAGTAATGTGTGACATATATGACACAGTGTTAATACTAACATTCAACATGCGTATACCATATACTCATAATGGAGATAATCGCCTACATTTTTCAGATAAGGAAACTGTGACCCCAAGAAGCTCAGTGGTGGGGCTGTCCTTGCGCCCAGGCCATCTGGCTCCAGAAACAGCCTGCTAACCACAGATTCAGACCACCTCGGCCAGGGCTCCCCTCCGAGCCTCGTTTGAACAGCAGAGGACTCTGGGGGAGTCTGCACATACTGACGCTGCTGCATCATTTGTAAATGGGGATAATGACACCTACCTCTGGGCCTGTGGTAAAATTTAAACCAAAAATATAAAGAAAAAGCACCTTCCCCAGGCCAGCAGCCAAGTCCAGTTCATCCCAATGCTCTTGAGCCTGGGTGTATGTTAAAATCAACAAGGAAACTTTTAAAACATGGACAACCAACCCCTACCCAACAATACTTCCATGTTTCTACCCACCTGCAGTCAGTCTGAAAGCAGCAATCTCCTACACCCAGCCCAGGAGTGAAACCTGCAACTCCATGGACCAAAGTTCAGCTTATACTGTCTGCCCTGTCAATCCAGAACTACAGAGAGGGTTTTAAACTCCCTAAGCCTCTGCTCCCTATGCTGAAACAACAGATTCAACCTAATGCTGTTCTACTGGACAAGAAAAGTCACAGGCACGGGACCATCCCCAACCAGGCCACACTCGCCCTGTCCAGGTCCTTGCTGAACTCATCAAGGTAACCCTGTGTACCAATTCCTGTGTGGCATCCTGACTCAAAGAAGCCTGCTGCCTCTCACCCCAGGTCCCTGTACAAACGCAGTAGGAGGGAACCTGGAAATTTCCCTAAGGAGTGCCTTATTGTCCCTTTACCCCGGTGTGATCCAGAAACAGTCTGCGCCAACACCAACACAGTCACCATTATCTTTACACAAAGCACTAATCAGAAGGCCACGCAGGGTATGAGACAGGTGGAATGGCCTAAAAAGATTATAAAATCCGAGTGCACACACACCCAGGCACGCACGTGCACACAAACTCCAAGAGCCATGCATACTTCATGCTCCAAGACTGGTCTGCTTTGTTCAAGGATAAGGGTAGGGGGTGCAGAGGGGCAGCACTAAACAATGAAGGGAATGCAGAGGTTGCCTATGGAAACTGGCAAGGATAAAAAAAGTAATCAGCCCACTTTGGACAGAATAGAAAAACACAGGTCTGGCCCTTAGCAGAGACGGCCAGCGGGGAGGATAGGACCAAGCCATACCAGTCTCCTGGCTTGGACTTCCATGCATCTTGTCAGGGCCCACTGCCAGTTGGCAAGAGGTGTTTCAGAGGACTCCAGATGGGGAAGGCAGCACAGAGAGGAGTCAAAGAGCCATGCACTGGCTCTTTCCCAGACAGTGAAGGTGTCCAGCGGCTCTCACCCTCTGCAGACACCTCCCGCTGCCTCAGTTCAATAAGCAGCCCGAGAGAAAAGTCCAAGCCCTCACCTGGGTAAAGGAGCCATCCTCGCCACACTCTGGAACAAACACTGCTTCCTGAGGCTTCTTGGCTTGCTCCAGGGCTTGGGCCCGCTCCAGGCGACACTTGCTCTGGCCAGCATCTAAAAGGGGAGAGGAGCATATTTTGTATTTTACTTGAATTCCTCATGGAAGCCAGGGTACAAAATGGCTGCCCAGAGGCAAGAATGCTGAGAGAAACCCCCTTCACTCAGGGAGCCACACATACAACCAAACTGTCTATCCAGAGGACAGCGGCTAGTGACAGCAGATCAGCAGCCTTAGGGTTCAAGAGTCACTAGTACTCTATTTAGAAAATCAAGGGTTCTAAAGCAGCCTGCTCAGCCTTCTGCAATTCCTGATCTCAAACTCAAATATCTACATGACTTGGGCAAGTGAGATCACCTGTTCATGAAGAATGGTATTCCATCCTGAGAGCCCATAGGGAGCACTGAGGACTGTGGCAAACTGGAAAACAGACTCACCTGTAGGGTCAGAGGCTACTCTGCTCTTGCCATGTGCTGTTTTGCAGGAATAGAGAACAAAGAGGGCAGGAACTCACAATTTGGGGAGAAAAGTTCCAAAGACAGATTTTTACGTTGAATTTTATCAGTTTTTAAACATTGTATCAAATGTTTTTAATGTGTTATAGCAGATTAAACCAAACACATCTGTTGGCCAACAATTTGGAATCCCTATTTAGGGGCCAGCAACAGTCCCTTGCATCCCTATTTTATTTTATTTTTTTATATAAATACAACTTTAGTTTTTTTATTTTGTTTTGCTTTTTGTTTTGGGGTACCAGGGATTGAACTTGGGACCTTGCACTTTCAAGGCAGGCGTCGAACCACCGAGCTAAATCTCCAGCCCCATCTCTATTTTAAAACAAAAGCCAAAGCAAATGACAAAGCACTAGCCAGAGAGCAGCACATCTAAGGCCTAGGCTGGTGGAGGCTTTCAGAAGTCAAGGAAGTGCACATACCTTCAGGTAGATCAGCCCCCCTTCCCATAAACGCAACAGAATGAATACAGAGACGGGACAGCACCCCAACTGAACAGACGCGTACTGAGTGCCCTGTGGTAACTGTACCGTGCAGGGAGCTGGTATCCCAGCAGCCTGCCCTGGGCTGGGCACAGACTTACACTCACCTTTGCATCGACCTCGATGGACCACACTCAGGGGTGGGTCTCGGCACTTGGCTTGCTGGAACTCACACATGGACTCGTAAGACCTCCCATCAGAGGCGCAGATGGGCTTGGGCTGAGTCCTGGAGCAGTGGAGGTTACACTGGGGGTCCCGGTCACTTATGAGAAACTAGATTGGGGGGGAAAGTGAAAGGATGAAGAGGTTACTTTTGTAAGAAAAGTGGGAGAAAGTTTATGACTTGCAGTACTGGTTTGCCTTGATAGGCAAGTCTCAAACAAAAGCAGTTATAAAACCCTAGAAGTGAAGGGAACTGGACAAAAGCAAGTCTAATGAAGAAGGCTTCCTCCATACATAAGAGCAGTGATATTTAATATTTACTGACTATGAGCAGGAACAGTACCATGGAATCCACTGGTAGGATCTCACTAGTCAGCACAGCAACTCTGTGTAACAGAAACTGTCTATTTTGTAGATAAGGACATTGAAGCCCAGAGAGTTACAGGTACAATGTCACAGAGCTGTAAAGAAGAGAAGATGTGAGAACCAAGACTTGTCATGTAAAGGTACAAGATCCCAACAATGAATGTAACTGTGCTGTATCCCTAAAATGTACCAATAAACTCAATTAAAGCTGAAAAAAAAAAGAGGAGAAGATGAATCCGAATTTGTATCTGCTGGAAATAAAATCAAAGCTTCACTCTCTAGGACGTTTGGTCTCTGCATCCATATAGATGACTGTGCAACCTCTATTTGATTATTTCCTCAAATGAAGAACTGATGGCCATGGCTTGTGTCTAGATGTCCCCTCAAAGCCTCATGTGGTCATAGGTGGGGCTTTTTCACAGATGACTGGATCGAGAGTGTGTGATGCTAGAACTGATTCATGGTGCAATGCTAGAATCAAGGGTACTAGGACTAACAGTGTGAGTGCTATCTGTCCTAAGTAGCCCGGATAAGATACACGGGATAGACACAGCTGTGGTCCATCCCTTGTTGCTTTGCTACCTTCCGCCCACCATGAACTGTTTCTCCTTTGTGATGCCACCTTGCCTTGCAAGCAGCCAATTATGGACTGAAACTTCTATTAACTGTGAGCTAAATAAACCATCTCTCCTTTAACTTTGGGTGTCAGAAAGGGCTAAAAGTGTAGAGAAAGTGGGAAGGGTAGGGGAAAGGTAATAAGGGAAAGGAAAAAAATAGCAGAAAATGAAAAAATGGAAATAAAATGTTTGTAAATGGGAAGAGGAGGGTGGGGGTGAAGGGAGGGCAGGGACAAGGGGAAAAAATGAGAACCAAGACCTGTCATATAAAGGTACAAGATCCCAATGAACTCAATGAGAAAAAAAATTTAAATTTAAATTAAAAAAAATAACTTTGGGTGTCAGGTATTTTGTCTCAGTGATGAGAAAAGTAATTAAGACACTGATCAATCTCCAAATTCCATCTTTAGAAAGTTTTCTCTCTTAGATATTAACATTGAGCCCCAAATCTACCATCCTTCCATTTCTTCCCACTGCTCTCCGACAGAATACAAGTGATTTTCTATGAGAAAGGTATTTCCTGATTTTTAAAAATAGCAGTGATGGGCTGGGGATTTAGCACAGTGGCACTGCACCTGCCTCGTAAGCACAAGGCTGAGTTCAATCCCCAGCACCAAAAACAAAACAAAGCAAAAATAGCAGTGATAATCAGCTTGGGAAATGCTGACTTAAACAGATTCACTTAGCACAGGAATTCTCAGACATCTTTTTGATGCACTCTTACACACAGTGATGCTTCAAGAGGCATAGTACAATAAAGATAGCTGTAGATTATTTGCCACTTCTCCCACTGAGCTATGGAGCCAAACCTAAATGTGGGACAGCCTCAGGAACCTGCTTGATCAGTACAATGCTGTGGACATGACATTGGGGGGGTGTGCTTCTGAGGAAGGTCAGAGGAGCTTTGTAGCATCTTTCTTGAAGTACTCACTTGGGGTGGGGGGGACCAGCCACCATGTAAGATGCCTGACAACCCTGAAACCAGCACACTATGAGGAAAGCCATAACAGCATGGGTCAAAACCACCCAGACAGAGAAATGCCCAACCAACTCCAGCAGAGACGTGAGCGTGAAGAAGCCTTCAGATGAATCCAGCCCACCTGTCAACTAAATGCAACTTATAGCAAAGAAAATAAGTAATGGCATGCAGACCCCCTGGCAAGAATCACCCAGCAGAGCCCAGTCAGCCCAGAGAACTGTGAGGGATAATACTGATCTACTGCATTAAGTTTTGTGCTCACAAGCTGCACAGCAACCAATGATCAGGTCAAGACACATGTATGATGATACAGCTTCCAAACCTATTGAACATGAACCTCTTTGTGAGTGAACCTGAGGTCTGCTCTCATCTATTCCTTACAGTAGAGCCCTGGGGACACTGAAGGCCACTCGGCAGGGCTGGACAGTGACACCTTGCAATGTCACAAGTGCACCTGTGGCCCTCATTGATGCTGGAGCTGACTTTATAATCACATCTGGCTCAGAGGTATAGGAGAGGTATGACTACAGCCCTGCTTCAGCTGTACTTTGTGTCACAGTGTGACACAAATAGATGAGAAGTTGTTGATCCCTTTCCACAATAGTACAGAAAGATCCAAAGGTCGCACCATACTACACTTTTCAACAGAGTACTTGGGTCGGGGTAGGGAGCACTCCACTGAAGTGTGGTGTGGTCCCACCTGCTACCTTGACCTCATGCCTGGGCGCTGGCTGCTCACCACAGAGAGGCAGTAGGTGAAGGCTCAGCCCACAGCATGGGCCTTTGCCAGGACGGACCATGCAGTTGGGCACTCTCATCATGCTCACAGGTTAGCCCTGAGTCCCACCAAAGCACAAAGCAAAATATCCTGAGCATGTCTCACGAGCACAGCATTGGATAGAGACTAGGGTTCTGCAGTTAAAAGAAAGTGACTAGGAAGTCAGACGCAAAGGCAGCCCACAGCCTTCCCAGTTACCACACAGACAGATGGGCAACAACCCAATGACCCCCGCACATCTCCTTGGTTTCAACTCCCCTCCAGCTGCCCCTGCTTAAAACCCTTGAGTGGTGTGCCACTGCTCCTGGGACCATCACACAGTGCCCCCCCCAGTAGAATCTGACCCAGGGTCCCCTCCCAGGCCTCTGTTCTGACTTCTCTGCCTCCCTTGCTCTCTGACAGTCAGTCACCACTCCAGCCTGCTTTCCATCTCTCCACGTAGCTGCCCAGGTCCTCAGACGCACTATTCCTCCTTCAGTCCCCCTCACCCCACTCCAGATTTGGGTTTATAACCAATTCCTCTTCTAGGAATTTTCCCTGGATCCTCACAGGAGAGGATGGGTCCCTGGAATCCTTTCTCACAGCTCATTCTTTCTTAATGGCTTTTCACAGTTTGTGCTGATGAATTAATTTGTGCAGTTTGGTTAACAATGGGCTCTCAGGGAGGATAACATTTCATCTCCCAGGCTCCTGCCTTCCTAGGGCGTCCCTGGGCCGTCCTTTCCTCCAGTGCCCTTCTCCAGCTATGTCCTCCCCTCCACCGGCCCTACTGCATGGCTCCGTAGGCAGAGGTAGCTGAGCTTCCCGTTCCTGCACACCTCAGAACAGGAACAGCCATCAGCAGTGTCTCACGGAGGGCCTGAAGCGCCTGGAGGGTCCTCCTTTGGTGTGTGGGAGGCAGTGGGCTCCCAGCAAACAGCTTCTGACTTTGTGGATTCGCTTTCACAGCTGTTCAGTGTTCCCGCTCATAGTGTGGCTCTGCCGTGATGAAAGACAATGAGGGGCAGCAGTGGGAAACATGGCTCTGCACAGAGGCCTTGGTATGGACCCCTGCGCAGAACTACATGTTGTGTCATCTTGGCGAGGTTGCCTGGTTTCCCCAGGCTTTAGTCTTCTCGTCTGCAAAACAAGGGTACTAATATACCCTGCCTCGTAGGGCTATTGTGAAGGAGCTCCGACTAGTCAACATTTCGTAAGTTATGTGTAAGTTCTTGCCCATCTTCTTCCTTTGGAATTTAAATGGGAGAATGATTTTTTGTTATTGCTGTTTTCTTTCTTCTTTTCTTTCTTTTTTTTTTTTTTTTTTTTTTTTTTTTTTTTTTTTTTTTTTTTTTTTTTTTTTTTTTTTTTTTTTTTTAAGAGACCACTCCAAGAAAAGAGGGAGAAAGACAAGGTTTTGCTTTTGTTTTTGTTTTTTCAAACCTACAGAGGTTGCTTCTGGTCTGCAGCTCACAAAAGTGAGGAGCTACAGGCATCACAGGTAGCAATGAACTCCAGGTTACACGTTCAGTTTGGAAACGGTTTTCTCCATACCAACAGAGACACCATAGAGGCTGTGCCCAAGACCTGCTTAACAACAAGAGGAACACTGTCTGCAAACATGAAGTTAAAGAGCCTCCCAAGCCCCATCTAGCCCAAACCACAGAGATAGTTCTCCGCTTCAGAAGAGCTCCTGAAGGATTTCTGGGCCATTGGGCTCTGTAACACATTGTAAGACAACACAGGGGCATGGCTAAAGAGCATTTTCAACTAACGGGAGTGTTTCATTTTCATCTGTTTGGGTCTGTGTGTATTTGTGATTATTTTTAAAACTAGGCAATGGGGTCTATAAGATGGGGCTTTAATAGAGTGACTATGCACTCATCAAGAGATGACTCTAGGTCCGCAGACACCGAGGACAATGCAGTCCTCCAATCTGTCCACCCATCTACTCATGGACTTGGTACCCAACAAGCGAGCAACAACAGGGAGCCAGACCTGCCCAGTCTTAGGAAGCAACACACAGCCAGAGTGGTCCCTGTCCTCCATTAGCTCACCTTCTAAGGTAGACACATGAAGCATGCAGATGCCACACAGCATGTCAGCAGGAAACCACAGAGGTGCTAAGAGAGGACAGGATCCTAGGGACTCTGCAACAGGACAAAGCCACACTATTCGATAGAAATTTCCCTGTGGATGGAAATGGTCTATAGCCACTCTGTCCCATATGGTAGCCACTGACCACATTAAGCACTGAAATAAATCAAATGCACCTGAGGAACCAAACATTTACTTGTGTTTAATTTCTGTTGATTTTAATTTAAATAGCCACATATGGCTAGTGGCTACCACATGCAAACCCCATCTGTAAAGTATACAAACCAAGAGGGGA